CACACCTACTCGACCACATACGCACAAAACGCATACAAACACACATACACACATACACACACACACGCACACACACACACACACACACACACACACACACACACACACACATACACATTAACACTCACCGGCTGGCGGTTTCAGAAATTTCCACACGATCAATCCATTGAATATTGTTAGAAGACCAATAACATAAAATGGTAACCCAAATCCTCCAGCCTATCGTGAGAGGTATGGGAAAGGGGGACAGGAAAAGGGATTTTTTTAAATGGGGAGGGGGGTGGTTAATTAAGTGAGTGTTAAACATAAAGCATTATAGATTAGTATTGATTTTAAGGCCACTTTCAACCAAAAAAGGTTATAGAGAAGCCCAACAAACAAATGTATTTCATTTTTTCTGAAAAGCTGAAACAAGCGAACAATGTAAGGATAACGAATGTAAGAAGTAATAAATGACTAATGGAAAGAAAAATAACTGCAAGGAATAAGACACATAGTTTGGTAAGATTTAGTATAAAAATTATGTGAAAGTAAAAGTGCAAAGATGTCAAAAGAGCAATGTCAGAGATACAGTCGAACCTCTCCATAACGATCACTCAAGATCACATAGAAAAGCGACCTTTATAAGCAGGCAGTCGCTATGGACAGGGTTTGCGTTACGTAATGGTTACTTTCTAGAGATAAAACAACAAAGTTAACAGTTGTATGATATATAATTTCAGTTCAATTTTCATGAAAACGATTATGTGTAATAAAAGCTTCAATGTATCGACAGAACGTGCGTATGTGAGGCATCGTGGTGGAATAGGGTGCTCAATTTTTGGAATACAGAGTTATTGGTATACTCTTACACTTTGATTATTTCTCTTGCTTTTGGGGAAAACAAATCATGTCCCTCCATCTTGAACCGAAGTCGAGATAATTGTGATTGAAGGAGGTGGGGTTGCCTGGTGTCAAAGGTAAAATTATTAAGAAAATGCCTGCTAAAGTTTGAAGACTTCCATAGTTTGAAAGTCCTTGGAAACTGAAAATTAAAAACTTATGTTGCTTTGATCAAAGGTTTTCAGCAAAATTGGTACAGTTTTAGTTTTATTAAGAGTTTTACGGCACTTGCAACACAATACGGTCATTATAAGTGCTGTAGATTACAGGTGTTACAAGAGAGTAACAAACGAGTAACAAACACAAAAAAGAAGGAGGAGAGATCAAGATGATAGATGTTTGACAGGAAAGAAAGAGCAAACCACATCAAATCACCAGCCTACCACCCATATTTATTTAGATGGGATAAAAAAGTGTTGAGCCCCAAAACGAAAATTAAAATTTGAATTAAAAAATTACCCAACCAACAGGACATGTCGTTTTCTTCGATTTCATTATTTTGACGAGCGCCTGGTCTCAACACAATACAAAACACATTATCTGAGGGCGGTGTATCGGGACGGTGGAGTAAGAAGCGACCTGTGGGGACTCTCGTGGCCGAGAGGTTACCGTGTTCGCCTCTCATTCAATAGGCCCCGGGTTCGAATCCGGACAGAGACGGACAATTTGCTTCTCAAAAATTTGTCTTCTTTCACCTCCTTCCCTGCTCTGAAACAATGTTCTGTTGTCTGCTTTCGTCTCCACTTTCTGCCCCAACCCCCTTATCTCCTTGGCCCCCTCCTCTGGATTCCTGACTCTTTCTGCAGCCTTTCTTCTGCTACTCCTTGGCTCTTTCTTACTGCTGTTTTTTTAGCCACACCCCTGATCTTAGGGTAAGTAAGATCGAATACCTAGCCTTCTCGGAAACGGGCGAAAAATCTCGGAGGTCCCGTGTGCAAGTTGCGCACATTAAAGATCGCTTAGTGGTCCAAAATCAATAAGAGTAGGCTTCGGCCTCCACACGGGCAAAATGCAATATTTTCTACCAACTGAAAATGTTTAGTATGTCCCATGCTTATATGACCTTATGCAGTTGCGAGCGCCGTAAAACACTTACCAAAAAAAAAGAAAGAAAGAAAAAGAAGCGAGCTGTATGAGCAGGTTCTGAGACCTACTTGAAGGAAAAGTTACAGCCCGTGACTGACTTCTTCATGAGCAGGTGAAAGTTTACTTTAAATAAAACACACTGGTATTACGGAACAATGGCTGTTAGTACAGATGGCCGCTTTGAAGAGGTGACCGTCTAAGACAGGTTCGACTGTATATTATTATATTTATCGCTGCCTGAAAACTACAAAAGTTCTATCTGACATTTTTGGAAGTTTTAAGTTACAAAGACAATGTGGTAAAAAGCCAAATTATGTTCTGTCTGTTCTATCAAAATCGTAAGATTATTCTGAGTCGTTAATAAGATATTCAAAGATTGAAAAATCTTGACATGTTGTGAGACTCAACATTTTTGAGTCAAATTTCTCAAACTAGGCACTGTGCAGACAGAACTTTGTAATACTAGGGTAGCGATCTGTTAATCACACACATGCACACACACACACACACACACACACACACGCACACACACACACACACACACAAACAAACTATATAAATAATAAATAAATATTACTACAATTACTACATAGAAAAAGCGATGTAAAAAATGAGAATGATAGAATGATAGAATAACGGGTTAAAAACGCTACTTGTTTATACCGGAACCTCCCGAAAACAACGCGAAACCTCCCAAAACCACCCGAAACCAGACAAAAACCACCCGAAACAACGCGAAACCACCCGAAACCACCTCATATTTTCTATGATATCATGTTATTTGCAATGCTATCTATAGCTCTGTGGATAAAATATTGATCTGTAATACAATAGTATCGTATTTGAATACTTCTTGATCCTAAATAAATTATTTAAACAAAAAAAGAATGGGAATAATACTGTCATAACTCAACGTCCCCGCAGTGGAAATCACTCAAGCTGGGTTGAGCACTTGAGCTTGTGCATAAAATCCACGCTCTCGACCAAGCGCATTACAGGGAGATGCAGAGAGCCTTTTGTGGATTGGGAGAGTTTGACCTCTGCAATGAGTTCAAACATTTTAGAGTCCAGAGGGATGTCTGGTTCCAGTTTTCAGATCAGCAACGGAAGAAAGATCTGGCAAAAATCTTGAAGCAATATAACGATGCTGGACTTGTTCGTTCCACAAGAAATGGACGGGTTGTAAGAATCCCAAAGGCAAAGGATAAGAAGCCAGGGCAAGTAAAAGAATAAAAGGACAGCCAGAAAACACACGGCGTCCAAGAAACTGACGCTGGACATCGATAGCAGCAGTCTTTAATTTGTGTGTGTGTGTGTGAAAGAAAGAGAGAGAGAGAGAGAGAGAGAGAGAGAGAGAGAGAGAGAGAGAGAGAGAACACATTGACCTCATTGCAGGTTAAGCAAGGTACTTCCTCATGTTGAAGTTATAGGGCCTATTTAATAAGTTAACATTTGCTGCCCTCACTTTTTACCACTGCTGCTCATGCAGTTCTTTTTTTCTTTTTTTTTTCTTTTTTTTTTTAGCTCCCCAGACCCCCTATTTTCTTGGTTTATTTTTAGCGGCTTGGAAATGAGTAGTGCTTCAACAAGCTGTCTTTACTTTTTATAACCTGAGGTTTGGTTCCAGAAGTTTGGGAAATTAATGCAGTTTGAAGGTTACAAATATTTCGTGAGTCGCCGCTTTTTAAAAAAATTGACAAGTATTGTTTCTTATAATAAATTGCATTGGTTCCTCTGAAATATTCTAGCTCAGTCGGATCTCAAATTTAGTTGCTGAGCCGTTGAACAAGAGTCCACACTACATATTTTGACCATTTCCAGTGGTAGAATATTAGTAGTTGTGTGAGAAAATTGACTTTATGAATGAAGATCGGAATTCCAACTATTTCAGTGTACTTGGCTACTTACTTCGCTCCTCTTTAATTTGTTTTCCTTAAAATTCACAGAAAACTTCAGAGTATGAGAAATTAAGAAAGTTTTAATCTTAAGATCTATAACATAGTATTTTATGAAGAGTTATCTTAGGTGCCACGTATAATCTGTCATCTGGTTCTTGGCTCTCTTTATAAGAGAAAAGGATGGTTTGTGAATTCTTTGTTCAACTTCATTCTTTATTTTGTTTTAACTGATGAGCGACTGTACTTCTTAGAATTTTAATTAGTGTTATAGTAGTATTCAAGTACAGATTTCTCACATAATATAATGAGGCGAGGCGGTATTTAATTTCTGTTATCTCGTGCATGTTGTGAAGTATTCTAAGGAGGCGTGACCATGAAGTGATCCCTACACATGTTTTTGGGTGAAATTATAAAAAATTGGGTTATCACTTATTATATAAAATATTTCCTTCTTCTTGAACAAAACCCAGAAACGTTTGTAAGCGTTTCTGTACCCTAAACTGGTGTTTTAGGAGATTTTAGAGAAGAGGGTAGAATCTTTTTAAAATGAAATAATTTCCAATTTTTTTTCTCTTTCGCATTTGACATGTTTTATACAGCTTATATGCTTCAGATTCAGTAGCAAACCTCCGTTCTATTTCTACTGTGTTAATATTATCATCAGGTAGTTGCCATGTTTTAATTTGAAGTATGCTTTTACGGTTTCTATTGGGAAAGAGAACCATTTTGGCCTTTACTGACCTTTACCGGCTGTTTTCTTATAATGCTATTTTCACGCACTTCCCATTTTTCTGTTGTATCTTTTTCGATTTTAATGCAACTTTCACAGAATGTAAACGACACCTAGTTCTAGAAAGTGTCTTGAGGAATTTTTTATTGCATTTGTAGCTTTTGATAAATGGCGTCAGAAAGTGATTTCCCCCCCCTTTTTTTCAATTTTTTCAATAAGACGACTTTTTAAGTGCCGTCAAATGACAACTAAAGCATATACCAAAAATTATTTTTAGATCTGTACTTTCTCTATGTACATGTCAAATTAAAAGTGTTTGAAATAAAAAAAACAAATACGTAAATGTTGTCTCTTGTAGTGCTATAGTATTGTTTTTTGGCTTAAATAATTTATTCAGGATCAAGAAGTATCCAAATACGATAATATTGTATTACAGATCAATATTTTATCCTCAGAGCGATAGATAGCATAGCATATGACATCATATCATAGACATTTTGAGGAGGTTTGGTGTGGTTTTGGTGTGGTTTTTGGGAGGTTTTGGTATAAACAAGTACGCGGTCAAAAACATAATCAATAAAATAAAGAAAACGAAACAACACCTTTAGATTGGGAATTTGAAAAAGAAATGTGGAGCAAACTATGGAAAGTGTGATTAAAAAATAATTTTAAAAAAAAAAATGGGGAGCCAAGGAAAATGTGATTTTGCAGCCCCTTGTTACGTTTCAACATCGGGTCTTGCCGCTCTGTGACTATACGTAATTCGCAGCCAAAATGTCAAAAGATATTCTGTTGTCTTGACAACAAGAAACACCATCAGTAGCAGTATTAACAACGGCAGCAATAAGAACATGATCAACAGCAACAGTATTAACAGTTGTAACAGCAACAACATCAACATAAACATCATCAACAACAACAACAACAACATCAAAAGCGACAACAAAAAAGAAAAAGAAAAGAAAACAACAAAAAAAATGACTGAGATGACTACAACAACAACAACAATAACAACAACAACAACAACAACAACAACAGCAACAGCAACAAGCTCTAGCAGCAACAGCAACAACAACAATTGCAACAACAAGAACAACGACAACTAAACAACAAAAAAACAACAACAACAACAATAGCAATAATAACAACAACAAAATCAGCAACAACAAAGACAGAAACTACCCCAGCAATAACAACAATAACATAAGCAACAACAACAGCAACAACAACAATATCAACAACAACAACAACAACAACAACAGCAACAACAACAACAAAAACAACAACAACATCAGCAACAACAACAACGACAGAAACTGCCCCAGCAATAACAGACATCACCCACCTCAAACAGGGCTCCACCCACGCCTGGTCCAGCCATCAGGCCAATGCCATGTGCCGTCTCCAGGATGCCCTGTGGTCAACCCATGGGACACACAATAATTTCTAAGAAATTAATTATAAAGAAACAAATGTGAAGTATGCGCTCATATAACGATATGCAGTTGCGAGCGCCGTAAAACCCCATACTAAACTAAAAAACTAAATGTGAGGCAGCGTGGTGGATACAGGCTCTCGTCAAAATAATCGAAATGAAGAAACCTGCATTTTTCGGCAGGTTTGTGAATTTTTATCAAATTTTTGTTTGTGGGCTCAACACCTTTCAAGTCCATTAAAGAGCTCATTTCTGTGTGGATTTTTCAGAAAAAACGTTGATTAAAGGCACACAAAATGTGAATTTGCAGTTAACACGGACTCTAAAGCTAAGGAAATAACTAATCTTTGGCGGCCATTTTCTCACTAATTTTACCTCTGAAAACAGGTGACCCCCACCTCCTTCATTCTCAAATATCTCGACTTGCAGTTAAAATAAATGGATATTTTGTTTATGCAAATAAAGACAAGTGAACAAGCTTTAAGATGATACCAATAACTCGACATGCCCAAAAACTGAAATAAAAATTGACCAGAGCCTGATACCACCACGCTGCATCACAAATGTGAAGTATCGTGGTGAAATCAGGCGCTCGTCAAATTAATTAAGACCGCCCCCCCCCCCCGGGGATGTTTCTGGAAGTTGGGAAGTTTTTTTGGGTCTAATTTTCTTTCTTGGCTCAGCACCTTTCATGTCCATTAAAAAATACATTTCCGTGTTGATTTTACTGATTTACGTTGATTAAAGGCACACAAACTGTAAACTTTCAGTCTCCAAGGATTCTCAAGCTATGAAAATTACCAAATTTTCTCGCTAATTTCACCAAAGCAGACGACCCTAACCTCCTTCAGTCGCAAATATCTCGACTTCTATTCACTATAGATTGATATTTTCTTCATCAAAACCAAGGCAAATGAACTGGCCTTAAGACGATATCAATAACCCTATATGCCGAAAAATTGACGAGTGCCTGAATCCACAACGTCGACCCACAAATAGAAAACGAAAAGAACTTATCACCTTTTTTTGATTTTGTAATGAACAGACGAGATAAAAATATGCTCATGCAAAGGAAAAAACAAACAACCCCCCAAAAAAACAACAACAACAACAACAACAACAACAACAACAATGACAAACAACAAGACACACACACACACACACACA